TTAGGGTTTCGGGTGAGGGTTTAGGGTTTAGGGTTTAGGGTTTAGGGTTTGCGAGTCTGCTGCAGCGGCTGAGAGAACTTGGGGTTTAGTAACTTTTCAGTCTTCAGCATAAAAGACGAAAAGTATTTAAATAATTTTAAACAAACAAATAAATAAATAAAATAAATAAATAAATAAAATATATAAATAAATAAATAAGTAAATGCTAATATGTATTTAAACAACTTTCGTGTATATGTAAATGCAGTATTGTTTACTAGACAATTTGCATTTTAAATGTAAATATATTTCAACACTTTTTGTATTTGTTTATAAATGAAATGGATATAAAAATGCTACATAGCTAAACGTACAATTATATATATATATATATTTTTATATAATTATGTTTATATATATTTATATATATATATACATATATATTTGCATATATATTTATATATATTTATGTATATTTTTATATATTTATATACATTTACATATATATACATACATGTATATATATATGTATATATTATATATTAATCTATACTTATGTATATATATATATATTGATTTATTTAATTTGTTTATTATTCTTGAAATCGTGAATTTGGAGGTTCATTTAAACGTAATATATTTAAAACTTAGGTTTGCATTTATTGCATTTATATATTTAAATTTCGTTTTATTTTAATTCAAAATAATTGTTTAGGAGTATTTATTTGATGAAAAATAAATGCAATTATTGTGAACTCCAAACTTCACTTCAAATCTTATTTTGATTATTTGGGCGTGATTTAAAATGTAGTTTTGGATTATTAGTTTTTTAAATGTAAATATACTTTTTATTTTATTATTTTTGTAGTTTTCAGTGAACTTTTGATTTATCGTTTTTAAATTAAAAATGTGATTCTTGTGTGATTCTAGTGCTTTTGGTTTAAAATGTACTTTTGGTTTATTTTTAATAAGAAATGTACTTTTTGGTTATTGATGTTTCTAATTTAAATTGTAATTTTAAATTTATTATTTTTAATTTCAAATGTACTTTTTAATTTATTTTTTTAAATTTTAGATGTACTTTTTAGTTTATTATTTTTAATTTTAAATGTACTTTTTAATTGCTTTTAAATTTAAATGTGCTTTTTAGTTTATTATTTTAAATTTCAAATGTACTTTTTAATTTATTATTTTTAATTTTAAATGCACTTTTTAATTTATTATTTTTAATTTTAAGTGTACTTGTTTGCGTGCTTTAAATGCCTCAGTTTGTTTTGTTTAAATGGAGAGAAGACAAAAGATGGGAGGAAGTCCATTTGCGGAGGGAGGAAAAAGAAATTGTTTTCTTTTACTCTTCAATTGTTTTAATTTATTCTTTTTAAAAAGAAAAAGAAAAAGTAAATTCCATTCTTTTCAAACTTCCCCTTTGCCAGTACCTCCAGGTGTACAGACACCTGGCCCCCCATCTCACGCGGCGAAGCTCCCCGGAGTCATTTCTTCTTCATTTCTTTTATTTCCAAATTTAAATTTGAATTAAAAAGTTTAAATAAATGTTTTTAGTTTCAAACGCCATTTAAAAAAGCCCGCGGCCGCAGCAGATGGGCTCCGGCCGAACCAAAGCTAGTGGGGGAGTGCTGTGCCGAGGCTGGGCTGGATTGGAGGGCATTTTTCTCTTTTTTTAGTTTTAATTTTATAATTCTTTTTTATTTGTTTTCCTTTTTATTATTTCAAGATCAAAAAGAACTCAAAGAAACTGAAGAAGCCTTCGGGGGCTCGTACGCTGCGTGTTCCGGCTGCTGCTGCTGCTCGTGGCTGCTGCTCCTGCTGCTGCTGCTGCTGAAAGTGCGGGAAAAGAAGCAGAAAACGCTGGAGATATTGTTTTTCTTTGAAAGTTATTTGATTAGATGGAAAAGTAAAAAGAAAACTTCTGAAGAACTGCAAAGACTGTTTTTGCTCTGCGGTGTCTGTCCACTGGTCACCTGGGGTGTATGCACAGACACCCCGCGGGCGGGTGGCTCTCCGGCGGGCGCGCGGGCCGGATTTTCGTTTTTTTTCGGTTAAAACTTTGAAAAAAGGATTTAAATGGATGAAATTAATCATTTAGAATTTAATTGGCCTTCAAAATCCGCAAAAGAATGAAGTCTAGCCCTCGTTTCTCGCTTCTCCGCTGCTGCTGCTCCCCCCCGCAGCCGACAGCAACCAGTACCCTTCTTGGCTGCTGCTTCCTCGCCCTTGCCAGCGGCTGCTGCCTCTCTTGGAGTGTTTTTTGTCCTTCCTTTTTATCTCTTTCAGAATTCCCCTCCAGAAGCGCCCCGGGGGCCCCTCCCTTGGGGCCCCCCGGGCCGGGGGCCCCCCCCCTGGGGCCCCTGGGGGCCCTGGGGCCCCTGGGCCCCCTGGGGGCCCCCCCCCTGGGGGGCCCCCCCTGGGGGCCCCCTATGCCGCGGGGCTTTGGGGTACTGCCCTGTACGGGCTGGGGGCCCTCGCGGGACTCCCCGGGGGCCCCTGGCTGGAGGGTTTGGGGGGCCCCCGAGTTGGCTGTTTGGTGGGGAGTTTGTTGAGTTTTGTGAGTTGTTTGATTTCTTCTTTTTGTCTTTGGAAAAGAATTTTTATTTTTGTTTTTTTGTTTTTCATTAATGGAGTCGGCGCTGGCCTTTCCCTCTTCACAGCCAGCACTGTGGCCCTCAGGTGGAGTCTGCAGCAGCAGCAGCAGCAGCAGCAGCAGCAGCAGCAGCAGCAGCAGCAGCCTGCTGCTGCTGCTGCTGCTGCTGCTGCTGCTGCTGCTGCTGCTGCTGCTGCTGGGCGTACACCTCGGGCTTCTGGTGTACGTACAGCGCAGCTAGCTGGCCTCTTGAGACCCACAGCTTTTATGGCGGCCTTTTTGCTGCTGGCGCCTCCAGCAGTGGCCTTTGTGCCCCTCCGTAAACCCTAAACCCTAAACCCTAAACCCTAAACCCTAAACCCTAAACCCTGGGTGGAAAGGCGCAGGCTCAGCTGGCCAGAACGATGTGCCCTAAACCCTAAACCCTAAACCCTAAACCCTAAGCTTTAAACCTGCAAGCGGTGGTAGCCGCGCATGCGTGGCGCTGCTCTCTAATAAGGGGTTTAGGGTTTAGGGTTTAGGGTTTAGGGTTTAGGGTTTAGGGTTTAGGGTTTGCGTGCAGGCGGAGATCCGAAAACCACTCCCGAAACCCTCAGAGCTCTTGCTGCTTTTATTTTTGGCCTCCAGGCGTTTGGTTGTCTCTTAATTCAAAACCCTAAATGGTGGTTTATAAACCCTAATTTAGGGTTTGCTGCTGTTCACTATTAACAAGCAAATAAAGATTCTATTCAAGTTATTCATGTGAACTAATAATTAATAAATCATTTTAATTAATTGTTAAATTAATTTATCAATTAATTCTAATTAGTCAAGCAGCTAATTAATCAACTATTTAACTGATAGGAGTTGCCTGTGGGCTGCTGCTGCTGCCGCTGCTGCTGCTGCTGCTGCTGCTGCTGCTGCTGCTGCTGCTGCTGCTGCTGCTGCTGCTGCTTCCGCTGCTGCTGCTGCTGCAGGTACACGGAATCTTCATTTGTGATAAGTGCTGCTGACAACAGCAGCAGCAAAATAGAGTTGCGTGGGACAGCAGCTGTCTGTACACCTGAGAGTGTGGGGTCTTGTCTTTCGAATTTATATTTGAGACTTTTATTATCTCCTTTTTGTCTTTTTAGTCCAGAAAATGTTGCTGCAGCACTTCAGACTCTTTATTTGGGAGGTGCTGCTGCTGCTGCTGCTCCTGCTGCTGCTGCTGCTGCTGCGGGGGTCAGCCTGCCGCTGCAGCAGCTGCTGCGGCGGCCGCGTTTTTGGGTGCTGCTGCTGCTGGGGTGTATAGACACCTTTGCATGCGCCTTGCTGCTGACTCTGTGGCGCCCTTTGCTGCAGCAGCAGCAGCAGCACCCGGCAGCAGCAGCAGCAGCAGCAGCAGCAGCAGGGGTGTTGGGGCTGCTGGCCCCTGCTTTCTGGGGTTCTTTCCTCAGCAGCAACAGCAGCTATGCTGGTTTGCTGCTGCTGCAGGGGCTGGGGGCCGTGGCTTGCTGCTGCGCCGCCGCTGCTGCTGCTGCTGCTGCTGCTGCTGCAGGGTCCCCGCTGCTGGGTGCTGCTGCTGCTGCTTTGTGTCTTTGTTTTGCTGCTGGCATCTTTAGTGTTTTTCCTTCTTTAATTGCTGTTGCATTTGGCCCTCATTACTTATTTGCAAACATGTATTTGTTTTACTTCTCGTTTGCTGCTGCTGCTGCAGCAGCAGCAGCAGCGGGGCAGCTGCTGCTGCTGCAGCGCGGCGGCTGCGAGCTGCTGCTTGCTGCTGCTGCGCTGCTGCTGCTGCTGTCCTTCTTCACTTTAGCAGCAGCAAAATGTTTAAAACAAAGATGGACTTTTGTTTTAAATTTGCCTTGTGCTTATCTTTTGCTGCTCTCCGGAGACAGCAAAAGCGAAGGCAGCGAATCTGGTTTGTCTTCTTTTTAATTAATTAATTAATTAATTAATTAATTAATTAAATTAATTAAATTAATTAAATTAATTAATTAATTAGTTAATTAATTAAATTAATTAATTAATCAAATTAATTAATTAATTAATTAATTTGATTTAATTAGTCAAATTAATTAAATTAATTAATTAGTTTATTTACTTACTTATTTGTTCCTTTTTTTTACTTGTTCGTTCTTTGTGCCCCTTTTAATTTGCGCATTTTCCGTTATTTATTTATTTATTTATTTATTTATTTAAATTAATTAATTAATCAATTAATTAAACTGTTTTGTTATATTTATTTATTTATTTATTTATTTATTTATTTATTTATTTATTTATTTATTTATTTATTTATTTATTATTTATTTATTTGTACAGATCGGAGCAGCGAGGGGGATTTGCCGTGTGGGGAGTCTTCTGCATTATCTGAGGTGTACATACACCTGAAGCTGCAGCAGCACTTTTTGGGACTTGTCAGTTCTTTTCCTTTTCCTCATTTTAATTCCATTATTCAAATCAACTTGGGCCCTTTTGCAAGTCCTCCAGAAGAACAAAACGCCCCGCAGGTGCTGCTGCTGCTGCTGCTGCTGCTGCTGCTGCTGCTGCTGCTGCTGCTGCTGCTGCTGATCCTACTGCTGTTGTTGTTGTTGCTGCTGCTGCTGCTGCTGATCCTGCTGCTGCTGCTGCTGCTGCTGCTGATGATGATGATGATGGGAGTGCCGATAGTACTAGTGCTGCTGCTGCTGCTGCTGCTGCTGCTTCTACTTCTGCTGCTGCTGATGACGACACTGCGGCGACCACTATTGCTGTTGCTGTTGCTGCCGCTGCTGCTGCTGGGGTAGTTGCTGTTGCTGCTAATGCGGCCGTCGTTGTGGCTACTGCTGCTGCTGCTGCTGCTGGTATAAGTGGTGCTGCTGCTGCCGCTGCTGGTGTCACTGCTGCTGCTGCTGCTGCTGTGAGCGTTTCTGCTGCTGCCGTTGCTTTTGCTGTTCTGTCTCGTGCTGTCAAGCTGCTGCTGCTGCTGCTGCTGCTGCTGCTGTTCCTTAGGATCAGGGAGACAGCGAACCTGAATTGCTGCTGTTTCGAAAGCCAGCAGCAGCAGCAGCAGCAGCAGCAGCAGCAGTAGCAGTAGGGGATGTAGTGGAGCAGCAGGACAGCGGAGTTACAAGTCCGTCAGCTTCAGAAGAAGCAGCAGCAGCAGCAGCAGAAGCAGCAGCAGCAGCCTCAACTGCCTCTTCTGCTGCTCTTGAAGAGAGCAGCAGCAACAATAAAGGCATTTGGCAGTAACAGCAGCAACAGCAGCAGCACGAACAGCAGCAGCAGCAGCAGGTGAAGCAGCAGCAGCAGCGTAACTGCCTTTTCTGCAGCTATTGAAGACAGCAGCAGCAACCAAGGGATTTTGGCAGCAGCAGCAGCAGCAGCAGGCGTAGCAGCAGCAGCAGCAGGCGTAGTAGCAGCAGCAGCAGCAGTGATAGCAGCAGCAGAAGTAGCATCAGTAGCAGTAGCAGCGGCAGCGATAGCAGCAGCAGCAGCAGTGGCGCTCCTGTGGATTTGACTTGCTGCAGCAGCAGCAGCAGCAGCAGCAGCAGCAAAAGCAGCAGCTGCTGCTGCTGCCTCGTGCTTGTAGACTTTCTTTGGCTCGCAGCAGCAACTTAATTTAGCTGCTTTTTATTTGAATTTTATTTTTAATTAAACTTTTCGAGGGTGAGATTTATTTTGCTGCTGCTGCTGCTGCTGCTGCTGCTGCTGCTGCTGCTGCTGCCAGTGCTGCTGTTGCTACAACCGCTGCTGCTGCTGCTACCACTGCTGCTGCTGCTGCTGCTCCTGCTACTGCTGTTGCTGCTGCTGCCAGTGCTGCTGCTGTTGCTGCTGCTGCAGACACTGCTGCTGCGGTTGCTGCTGCTACTGCTCCTGCTGCTACCACTTCTGCTGCTGCTGCTCCTGCTGCTACTACTTCTGCTGCTGCTCCTGCTGCCGCAGCTGAATAATTATTTATAAATTTATTTATTTATATTTATTTAAATTATTATTTATTTATTAATTTCAATTTGCAAAAAGACTATTTGAAAGCAAAATAACTTGGCAAGAACTGCTGTAGCGCTGAACGAGGTACTCTCCTAAACCCTAAACCCTAAACCCTAAACCCTAAACCCTAAAGAGGTTTGCATCCAGAAGCGCTGCTGAGAATACTTGCGAAGGGTTTAGGGTTTAGGGTTTTCGAGTGGTTTTCAGTTCGTTTCATTAGAGGCAAAGAGACAATCCCTAGCAGCTGCAGCAGCTGCTGCTGTTGCTGCTGCTGCTGCTGCTGCTGCTGCTGCTGCATCTAACGGACAAAAAAAGGACAAATAAAACAATCGCGGCGTACATACACCTAAAAACAAACGCCATAGTGAGGCTGCCACGGCACTGCAGCAGCAGCAGCAGCTGCTGCTGCTGCCGCTGCAACAGCAGCAGCTGCTGCTCCTGCTGCCGCTGCAGCAGCAGCAGCTGCTGCTCCTGCAGCGATGCAACTGCCTACGAGGCATCTCAGACACAGTTTAATGGGACCCTGCTGCTGCTGCAGCTGCTGCAGCAGCAGCAGCTGCTTCTGCTGCAGCAGCTGCTTCTGCTGCTGCTGCTGCAGCAGCAGCAGCTGCTTCTGCTGCAGCAGCTGCTTCTGCTGCTGCTGCTGCAGCTGCTGCTTCTGCTGCTGCAGCTGCAGCCGACACAATTTAGGTGCGGCCAGGCACCGAGACACTGCTATTTATTTACCTAGACCTCAAACCTTAAACCCCAAACCCTAAACCCTAAACCCTAAACCCTAAACCCTAAACCTTAGTTTGACATGAACTAACGGAGGCTCAAAGCACTCCTGCTGCTGCTGCTGCTGCTGCTGCTGCTGCTGCTGCTGCTGCTGGGTCAGTGCCCATGCCTGAAGCTGCTGCTGCTGCTGCCGAAGGGAGCAGCAACAGCAGCAGCAGCACAATCACCGCCCAAACTTGGTGGCTGCTTTGCTGCTGCGGGTGTGGGGCCCCTGAGGGCCGTGCTGCGGGGAATGGCCTGCTGCTGCTGCAGTTGCTGCAGTTGCTGCTGCAGTTGCTGCTGCTGCAGTTGCTGCTGCAGCTGGAACTGCCGCGCCTGCAGCTGAGCCAGCTGCTGCTGCTGCTGCTGCTGCTGCACGCGCTGCTGCAGCTGCAGCACCAAAGACACACCAGTAACAGGCGCAACACGAGACACTGTCCGGCGAGACCCTGCTACGCGCTGCTGCTGCTGCTGCTGCTGCTGCTGCTGTGGACAAGGCGCCACAGCAGCAGCAGCAGCAGCAGCAGCAGCAGCAGCGTCACACCTTCTCAAAGGTAATGCGTCTAAAGTAGGGGTCGAAGGTTTGCTGCAGGGAGCAGTTGTGAGGCTGCTGCTGCTGCTGCTGCTATAAGGAGTCATGCAGTCACCGCAGCTTGCTGCTGCTGCTGCTGCTGCTGCCGCCGCTGCTGCTGCTGCTGCATCTGGATGTCCAGAACCAGCCCCAGGGTCAACTATGCCCCCACCCCCTGCTGCTGCTGCTGCTGCTGCTGCTGCTGCTGCAGGGACCCCTGCACGTTCCGCAGCGCGCCCAATCGAAACAGGTGCAGCAGCAGCAGCAGCAGCAGCAGAAGCAGCAGCAGCAGCAGCAGCAGCGTTGTAGGGTTTGAGGGTTTTCACATGCCCCAAAAAGTCGTCAGGAAGAGAAGAAGGAGGATGAGAGGAAGGCAGGCGAGTGCTGGCGACCGAGGAGCAAACCCTAAACGCAAACCCCAAACCCTAAACCCTAAACCCTAAACCCTAAACCCTAAACCCTCGTGTGGCAGTCACAGAAGTGAATAAGTTGTGCCAGAAACAGCCCTTTGGTCTCTTTGCCGCCAAGCGTTTAGAAACATGCACCCTAAACCCCAAACCCTAAACCCTAAACCCTAAACCCTAAACCCTAAACCCTAAACCCTAGAGCGGAGACTTCAAGGCCACGTTTGGAGCTAAGCTGGAGAAAGTATAAATGGAATAAAACAAATCATTTAATTTAAATTAATTTCTGAAATGTTTAAATAAAAATAATTAAATAATTTAAATTAAATTAATTTTATTTTAAACTGACAAAGAACCAAATGTGTGCTTCAAGGAGTAGCGCAGAGGGGTGGTGCTGCTGCTGCTTTGCTGCTGCTGCTGCAGTTGCTGCAGCTGCTGCTGCAGCTGTTGCTGCATCTGATGCTGCTGCTGCAGCTGCTGCTGCTGCTGGAATTGCTGCTGCAGTTGCTGCTGACGCTGCTGTCGCAGTTGCTGCTGCTGCAGCTGCTGCTGCTGCAGCCGCCGCTGCTGCTGCTGCAGCTGCTGCTGCTGCAGCTGCTGCTGCTGCGTGGGGTGTACAGACAGCGGCAACTGCTGAAGGTGGTGCTCCGTCGGCTGCGGCATATTGAACTGCTGCCTTGTTAAAAAGAAACGCGGCTGCTGCTGCTGCTGCTGCTGCTGCTGCTCTGGTTGTTGCTGCAGTTGCTGGTGCTGCAGTTGCTGCTGCTGCAGCTGCTGCTGCTGCAGCCGTTGCAGGTTCGCCTCCTTTTCAAGGCTAGCTGCTGCTACGTGCTGGCTGTCTCTCGGGAGGGCAGCAGCAGCAGCAGCAGCAGCAGCAGCAGCATCAGTTCCTGCTGCTGCTGCAGAGCGTTGCTGCTGCTGCTGCGGCTGCTGCTGGCGAGCAAATTGCTGCTTGAAATACTGCTGCGCATGATGTGCTGCGGCAGTCTTGCAGCCTGCAGCAAACCAAACCACAAATTGCTGCCTTTGCTGCTGCTGCTGCTCCTACTGCTGCTGCTGCTGCTGCTGCTGCTGCTGCTGCTGCTGCTGCTGCTGCTGCTGCTGGGCCTACCTGGCAGAGCCGCCTGTGTGCCTTGAAAGGGCCGAGACATGCGAGCAGCAGTTGTGCTGCAGTTCCAGGGCAGCTGCTGCTGCTGTTGCTGCTGCTGCTGCTGCTGTGTTGCTGCTACAGCAGCTGCAGCAAAGCGGTCCTGATGAATCCATGTATCTGCTGCTGGCACCGCTGCAGCAGCTGCTGCTGCTGCTGGGAGTTTCCCGATGGCTGCATGCTGCCTTTGCTGCTGCTTCTGCTGCTGCTTCTGCTGCCGCCTCTTCAGCTGCTGCTGCAGCACCTGCTGCTGCAGCTGCTGCAGTGCTGCAGCTGCTGCAGCAGCAGCTGCTGCTGCGGCGGCAGCTGCTGCGTCGGCAAAGCTGAAGGCACCGGCAAGAGCCACGGGTGGTGCAGCGCTTCAAATGCTGCAGCAGCAGCAGCAGCAGCAGCAGCAGCAGCAGCAACAGCAGCAGCAAAAACAGAAGCAATTCAGAGAGAAATGCGTAGGCCCTCTAAGCCCCAAAGAAGTAGCCAGCTCCAAACCCTTGAACAAAACCCTAAACCCTAAACCCTAAACCCTAAACCCCAAACCCTAAACCAAACAAAACCCTAGCCTGTTTGCACATAGGCCCACACCCAAACCCTAAACCCTAAACCCCAAGCTG